ACTCAAAAACAAATATTTCTGCCTCCTCATAGACTATATTTTAGACTTAAATATCTGTCATGACACGTGTGAATTATGCAGGGTTTTAGGTCATTCAGTCAACTTGCAAAGATTTAATGTAACAAGTTAAATCAAGTAAGAGCTCTCTCCAACGTTGACTTTATTTTAAGGATGTTTTGTTTGTTGGATCATTTGCTCATATTTGATATGTCAGCTGTGATGCACTCTGATTTGATTAAGGTCAGATTAAACTTGTCATTTCACAGACCACAGGTAGCCCACTGCAAAACACAGACAACTCTCTGTATGTAGATATAAACAGCTTATTCTGAGGTACCAAAAACACAATGATTCTTATTCTCAGTTGATTTAAATGATTGAAAACATAGTTAAGTATATTGTATACCATTCCTGCCAGTAGATGCCCCTAAATCCTGCACACTGAACCTTTAAACCCAAAACCCTGACTGTTTTGCTGGCATGTAATTGCATAGCGTTTTATTGATTTTTAGTCATGAAATTGAAAGAGCTAAATTAAATTTCAAAGTCAAGATTTCCATCTGCACAAGGAGCCTAACTTCTCTTAGATAAAACACCGGCACTCTAGTGGCAAGGACAGTGATGTCACATGTTACTCGCACAAAACTTAAATAACAGGAGTTCTTGCTGCTGAGTCGGGATTCCCCCCTACACAGGCAAGGCACTATCATCTGGGGGAGCAAAAGCAAATGTGTTTTTTCAGCATACAACAGTGACTATGCCTGGTTGAAGGTTTTGTTGAACATTTATTGTATATATATATATATATATATATATATGTATATATATACATGGTGAACATCAGCATTGTTAGGGTGTAACATTTAATGTCACAGTAATGTAATTTAATTGTGTGTTGTAATGATGTTATTGTCCCCGCAAACACAGAACACATTTGTGCTTTGATAATAAAAGTATTTCTACAGGAGAAGGAGACTGATTTCAAAAAAGTAAGTATTGTTTTTATATAAAAAGCATTTTTTTAATTATTTTTTTAATTGAATCAGTTTATATTTTTCTTTTACTCAGATTAGTTATTGTAAGTATTGCATGTGTTATTTTTCTTTTTTCTTTTGCACTTGATGTCTTTTTGTGCTAAATAATGCAGGGTACCTGATATGCCTCCTAAAATGTTTGCTTTTGATTGTTGTACTTTGTCCTTTTTTCATTTTTCATCTCTACCACTGAAGCTTCTTACATTTTTTTTCTCTTTTAGGTCTTTAATCAGTTTAAACAGAATGGAAAGCAACATGACAGGTGATATCCTGAGGATCCAAGGCTTTGACATTTCTCCAGAGTTCACCTACCCGCTGTTTTTCTTACTGCTGTTTGTTTACTTCACCCTGCTTTTTTCCAACATAGGAGTCCTTGTGCTTATCATCACTGAGAAGAGTTTGCACCAGCCCATGTACATTCTTTTTTGTAACCTGTCTGTCAATGATCTAATAGGTAACACAGTCCTGCTGCCTCAGCTGATGGCTCACATCATTTCAACCGAACGCTTTATCACCTATAACCAATGTGTGGTTCAAGCCTTTCACAGCCACACATTCGGATCAGCCTCACATATGATTCTCATCATTATGGCCATAGACAGATATGTGGCAATATGTCATCCCTTAAGGTACAGGTCAATTATGACTACCAAAGCTGTGATTGGGCTGTCAGCGAGTGCATGGGGGGTGTCCTTGCTGCTGGTGTCTGTTTTGATTGGTCTCACAGTGAGACTATCCCGCTGTAGATCGGTTATACAAAATGCTTACTGTGACAACGCGTCACTGTTCAAGCTTTCTTGCGAGGATGTGTCCATCAACAACATCTATGGACTTGTTTTCACTGTGCTGCTGTTCGGTTGCTCAATGGGAGGCATCGCTGCTACCTATTTCAAAATAGCTCTCATCTGCCTGGTCAAGAAAAACAAAGAGTTGCAAAACAAAGCAATTCAAACTTGCGCCAGCCACCTTGTCCTTTATCTTATTATGCTCTGGTCGGGGTTTCTAACAATCATACTGCATCGATTCCCAAATTACCCAGATTTAAGAAAGATTGCTTACATTTTATTTCATGTGATTCCTGCTAATTTAAACCCAATTATTTATGGGATGCAGACAAGGTCATTACGTGATAAAATTATCCAAATACTGCAAAGAAAAGTGACTCCAACCTGATACCATTCTTTTTTCTGTTCATACTTTGCAACTTTGAGCATAAAGACACACTAACTGTTTTAACTTGTCCTAAAGCCTGTCTGTATCTGGAACTCAAAACATGTTTTATACCCAGATATCTGTTTCAATTGAAGCAGTTCCTCCATTTTAATTTTAGTTGCAGTTCTTTCTGCATGCACGTAGATGCACAGTCTTTGTCTTCTGTTACCAGATCCCATGTGGTTTGTGGATACATTCAGACTATTTGCAAGTCAAATTATCATCACAAAGTGTGAAGACAATAGAATGAGTGTCTCTGGCCCCTGTGTGCATGGAGCCCAGTAGCAAGCTCTCTACCAACCTCTTGTGTCTCAGTGCTAGAATAGCATGAGTCACTAAAATCACAATTTCCACTGACCTTGCCCAAAGTGTTCCTGTCATGAGGAGCATCCATGAGCATAAGATTACTGATTTTCATGTTTGTTTTTACTGAGTTGCAGGGATTATGGTAATGCTTCATGTTGTGTCATCAGATTTAAACTCAGAATAAGATGTCATCATTGTGTGTCACTACACTACAATACAGTGCAAAAAAAAACAAAACACTTTACTTGTTCATATGATATTGTACATACAACTGTATAAGCTTGTAACAATACCCAACACACTCACACTCGTTGGTGCTAAAACTCCAAAGGTTTGTTTTATTTTATTCAGAATATCCAAGATTAACAGCTATTTGTTTTTTGACCTGTTAATATGGATCAATGATTTAATTTCAGAAAAATTTTATTTGGATAGTCTGCCAATAGATGGTTTATAGAGTATTTAGAATGTTTCAATAGCTTATCAGCCAATAATTGATTATTTCGCTTTGTCTGCAGATGTAGATGTAGATGAACAGATCATCTGTAGAGTATATGTGACACTTCATGAACATACATATTATCAGTTGAACCTGAACTATTCATTCAACCATTCACTCAAGTTCAACAATAGTATTCTGCGACTATACTTGTGAATTTTCTTTTAAAATCTATAGGTAGACATATATGGAGAAGTCAAAACAGTTGAATTGTTGAATCTCAATTAATGAGCCATTGAAATGTTACAAACTATCTGCCAACGGACTATCCAAATAAAGTGTTACCCTGAAGAACAATTCTCCACCTGACAGTACACATTTATCGTTTCGTTTTTCCAAATCAAAACTGATTTATAGCAAACTACTGCAGATGAAGCATTCTGTTTTCCCTCGGGTTCATATTAAAGAGCCATAGCCCATTTTGTAACATTAAGACCAGGGATAATACACATCAAGAGCCAAGCAAACGTTGATGGTCCAGGGGATTTAAGGGATAATCCATGTGAGCTACCCTGAGACGCTGTTTTCTCCTGCTCTGATTTTATGTTCTTGCTTGCCTGGTTTTTATCTCTGTAATATATTGACTCCTCTGTAAAGTTGGATGATTCTCTCTCATTATCTGGTTCATGTCATGAGAGTAAAATTACATCTTTTCTACCTCCTCCTGAAGTATATTACAGTCTACTATATACAAATCACATTTATTATTACCTCATACTAATGTGTCTGTTTACATATTTATGTAAAAAAAAATCAGTCTAATAGCTAAAATAAAGCCACATTTCCAGTTTTTCTAGAAATATAAAATTAAACTGGAACCCGATGTTCTCTGTCATGGCATTATCAGCAACAATAGTCTGTCCAGTGTGTTGTTTGTTTCATCGTTGTCCTTTTGTACTGTATTAGTAAAATCTGTTTATTATTAACCTTGACTTACTGTTTCAGACACAATGGAATAAATGTACAGAACCTAATCAATAAATATGTATTTATTTATAATAAAAGCACAAAACTGTGGAAATATCATTAATAGAAAAAGTATTGATTTGCCAACACGCTTGATATTTTTTCGGCTGAGCTTGCTAACTTTGACACATCATTGGAACAAAAGTTGTAACAACAAAACCCATGAACAAGAACTTTATCAAAGAGTTCTACTTATAATTAGGTCTGCAGCAGGGTGGGTGATGACACTGCCTCCAGAACAGACTGTTTCTTATTGGATAAAGTCTAGGAATTAAAGCTGGGGTCGGCAGTTTAATTTTTAGGTAAAATTCCCATAATAAACTTTAGGCATGTTGTAATTCAGGAGGACTGAGAGAACGCTAGACTTCTCACCTTCTCTTGTCTCTGTTTGCACGCTAAGCCATGACACTCCGAAATCATCAAAATCCGGTGCTTGAGCAGTGATTTGCGGCATCAAAAACCAACGAAAAAAGGTGTCCTTTAACATCGGCATGATACGCAGTCAGTTGCCATTATAGTTTAACATATTTAAGGGAAAAAAATGTTAATTTGTGGTGTTGTACTGACGTAGTGAGTATATTTTGAAAGAAACTGTATGTAAACATTGAATTTCCTGTGAAAATGGATATATTTTGAAAGAAGACAATGCATGTAACAGGCAGAACTTGACATGGCATCCCAGAACGTCAACAACCAACGTGCCCAGGGTACCTTCCACATCGTATGTGGACATGGAAAGTCCATGACCAAATGGCAATATGTGACTAGATCAGAGTGAGAATGTGTTGCGTGATGTGCCTGGCAGTTGCATGGCTGTTCTACAAATGCAGATGCGTGCACATCCCTTCTGTAAAAGCCTGATTCAATGGCGGAGACTCCTGCAGAGAAGTTGCTATATCATCATTGGCAACAACTGTCTACACTGCATAACAACCCCAAAAAAAGAAGACGGACCCATCAAAAAGAGAGACTACAAGAGAGTCTTACAACAAATGAAATAAAAAGTGTCAGTATTGGCAAAGCATGGCAGAAATGTACAGAAAATGTTGCTATTAGTTTAGCCTGCTGCTAACTGGAGTTAAAAGCTCATGGCGGCAGCTTCAAGTTCATGTTTATGTAGCTAATGGTAGCCAGAGCCTCGAATCACACTATGTCTCCCCCCTCTCTCCTCTACAGACACTTCGCCCAAGGGAGAGCAGGCGGCAGCTCCAAAGACGGACCCCTTCAGTTAGGAACCCCTAGTAACCCAAATCCAGCCAGTGCAAACCACAGCTATGGGACCAGACAGGCCAGACTCTCTGCTAGATCAGCAAACTTCCTGTTAATGCTCTCACACAAGTTACACTTGGTGATGCCGCTGTCCACCAGCCCGCTGTGACTCCCAGCACTGGGGGATGTGCACTGGCCGAATTTGAGTTGCTACAGCAGCCGACTGAAGCTCGGTCTCCCAAGCTGCTGCCAGGTCTCCTCCCAGGGAAGCAGTCCACACTGGCAGGGAGTGAGGTGGAGAGACCATGGGGTGGCTAGCTTGCTAATTCTCATTTGTGGTCTCATAAACAGACAGAGTGGGGCAAAGAGGGGCTGAGCAAATGAGCCATGTGCAGCTTTACAATGAAATAAAAGTAAACACATGCACAGAAATACTGGTTGCCTGGGGGGACTGCCTTAGGACATAGAGATGAAAGAGGAGAGCTATAGGAGGAGGATGTGTTTTCAAATTCAAATTCTTCAATTATCACTGCCATTAATAACAACTTCTCATATCTGCAGTCAGATGGCTTTACCCATGATGAGAAGGCTCATTAAAAACACCATTATGAAAAATATCCACATGAAGAAGCGGTCTAAAACTTTGGCTACTTTCTTCCACTCCCCAGTCCTTTTCTGCGTGGCCCTCTGATCTCTGTAACAGTTGGCTATGTACTCAATGTTACGCAGCAGCTGCCTCTCATTGCTTATGCTGTTGCAGGAAACCTCTCTGTCCTTTCTCTCTCCATCACTCACACCTCCCTTCCTGCATCTCCTCGGACCCCCCGCATCTCCACAGTCCATGCTCATGAAAATGCCGTTCTTCCAAGTGCTGTAGTTGTTGGTAGGGTTCCTCCCGATTGAGCCTATTGGGCTCATCATCTGATCATTGTCATCCCTCTCCTCTGCGGTCATGGAGCCCACTGTCTCTTGTCCTCTCTCCATTTTGAAGACATGGTCCTCTCTGCCTGGTCCTGCCTGGCCATTCATGGTGCAGTTGGTGTTCTTTACACGTTGAGGTTCCTGTTTCTCCGGCTGTGGTGACAAGCAGTTCTCCCCGACTTCATAAACAAAGCACATTCTGGCCATGTACTGCAAAATGACTTTCTTAGCCCACTTGGGAATAGGCTTGGCATCTGGACCACAATGGTGTATGTTCATGATGAAGATGGTCAGGGCAGTGGATGCTGTGATCATGGTCATTGTAGCAATGTAATACTTTCCTGTGGAAGATAATAAGACGGGGAAATCAACATAGAGTTGTAACTCACAGTCATCACATGTTTGGAATTGACCCCATTTTATTACCCTTACCAATGAGTGGGACATTCTCAGAAGGTGGCATGATCTCTGCAACCAATAACTGAAAGACAGTGAGTGCCAGCATCACGGTGACACCCAAAGACACCTTCTCTCCGGAGTCTGCAGGCAGGTAGAAGCCCAGTGGAGCAAGGAAAGAGATCATCACACATGGTATGAGTAAGTTAAAAACATAAAAGGATGCTCTTCTCTTGAGTTTCAGTGTATAGGTCACATCAGGGTAAGGGTCAGCACAGCAGCCATACAGAATAATGTTCTTCTTCCCTGGCATACCCAACACCTCCCACTCCACATTTTCCACCAGGTCAGCCAGGTCAGCACTCTCTAAGGCATTCAGGATGTCCAGCTGGTTACCATTGTAGGTCCAGGAGCCGTATGTAAACCTGCACTGCTGGGCGTCGAAGGGGAAGAAGGACACATCCACTTTGCAGGAGCTCTTTGTGATAGCGGGGGAATCCCACGTTATCTGGCCATCATGCTGGATCACCACATTGGTGTCCATGGAGCCGGTGAAATGATCATCAGCACTGAAAAACAAATAAAACTTGTCTGCAGCAGTGTTTACATTTATACCAAGAGCAGATTGATATTTTGGATACCTTTAGAAAATAACTGAAGAGTAGCTGTAATTTCCTGGAGTAGGCTGTAAATGATTTGAGGAGGAAACTTGATCAGGATACAAACGCACAAGTACACCAACTGAGGTAAGAGTCAACACATTTTGGAGAGTTGTACTCATTCCTCAGTGTTGTGTCTGCATTTTATATAGTTTCAGTAACACTCTGTTTTTGTTTATATGTGTGTCAGCATGTGATTAGTGTACATAGTATGAGCTGTTAGCAGGTTATCAATGTGATGTAATCTGAGGCATCTCTAGAAACCCATCTACAAACCAATCAATGCCAAGTCAGTGTTCGAATGCTTCATTTTTCATTTTGTTTTTTCACCAGTAAACTGGTGAAGGAAACTAAAAGGAGGTTTCAAGTGTCAGACACAAATGAGGTCAGTTTCCTCAGCGCAGTCATTGACCCCTGCTTCAAGCAATTAAAGTGCCTGTCTGACAAGGAAAAGAAACAGGTAAGATGAATTATGAAAGGTTATCAGCGTTTGAGTTATTGATAACTTAAAGAAACACTGCGTGCAATAGTCCACCTTCCACCTGCTGTTCCACCTCTCTATCACTCTCTCTCTTTCTCTCTCTCTCTCTCTCTCTCTCTCTCTCTCTCTCTCTGACACCGATGCAGCTGCGCTAAGTCCTACCAAAACTCGGTCTGGTTCGGGTGGTTGATTAACATAAATAAATATGATTGATTACTATATCCTCCCTGGTCTTGTTGCATATTGTCAAAGATGCAAATATTCACAGGTACTTGTCACTTATCACAATGTGTATAATGTAACATAAAGGCGAACCTTGGTTTGGACTTGCAGGTGTGAAAAGGTCCTCGATTTGTTTTTCTTGTCATTACATCTATATAAAAAGCAGACAGAGGCTTGGACACTCCCATAAATAATGGCTTTAAGGAATGCTCAGCTTGTGCCTTTTATCCTGACCAACAGGAGCCACACTTGGATAATCACTGAATGATTAACCCAATACCAGTCCGACCTACTTGTTATATAGGACTATATCAGGTCTCCATACATAACTACTAGGTATGCGGATGGTATCGAGTCCATCGTAATCATCTTTATTCCATTTGAGGTGTGCATCAATCCACACTTGCCGTATCCATAAATATGCAGTCAAAATTTGGTTTCGCTCATCCTGTAAAACATTGAAAATTATAGAAAATAATTGACAACAACAGGGGACACACTGCAGGTAAAACAGAAATATGATCTAATATAAAAATGTCATTATTGTGTGGGTGTCTGCACAGGTTCTTTTCATGCATACAATCTTGTGACTTGTGTTGAAACTGTGGTGTTTTACCATATCGATAATTTGCGACAGTGTAACCTGCAGGGTCACGTTCAGGATTGTGTTTGTGTCCTCCACAGGCCTCAGCGCACTGGTATAGTCGGTGAATAAATCATTCAGGAGCTTCTGAGCATATTTCCCCTGAGCACACCAACAGGCTAAGACATGGAGAGAAACCATTCACAGTCATATTGCTACAAAGAACCTGTTGTATTTCAGTCAATAATGCCACATCACATTTACTTTGTATTTTTTTGGTCAGGGAAAATTAAATATTTGCTCTTAAGGACAATTGTTATCATTTTCGATCAGTCAGTGCAATCATTCAGAGCAGTCATGTTGATTCTGCGGTGGGAAGAGAGGGAGAACATGAGAGAAAATGTGGATGCATGACAGATGGTGAAAGGGGACAAAGACGGATGTCAGGCTAGACTGCCCTTCTATAAAGCTCTAATGCAAGTTCAGGCAAATCTGCCATTAAGTACTAGCAATGATTGTTCCTGTTCAGACTGTGTGTGTGGAGTCAAGCATGTGTTGACTGGTGGCATGTATAGACAAACAATATGTAAGTATCAAAATGAGCTTTAACATTAATATTCTGTGAAAACAGTAAAGTTATTCAACAGTAAATGCCAACTTTTGATGTATATTTTTTCATGTTTTACAAGGAACGTATTCATGCCACTTTTACATCAATAATTCCAAGCTACCAGGAGTTTAAAAATAGAAACACTAGTTTATATTCTATCCGGAGCTTGTTTTCAGTGTCAACAATGGATTTGGGCTGGCCAGATGTTGACTTGAAACGTTGTTTCAATAAAGCCTCTGAGCTGGATACAAAGAAGGCCTGCAGGATTATGGTGATGGCAAATCCCTAAACAACTGGCTCCAAGTTTGCAGGTTCTGGATAACAGCTTGCATGGAAGAGGAATGGAGATCTGAGAGGGAATGAATGACGCATATAATTTGAAAACACTGACATAACAGGGAACTACGCACATTTTCAAAATTCATACATGTTATTCCTCTGGTCGAAGACAGTCCAAAATTATTAGTAAACATGAACAACTCTCAAATCCAAGTTTGTGATGTCATTGGGTATGAAGTCTGCAGCTGCTCCACAGACAGTGAATTGGGAAAGATTTTATAGATGGCACTGAGAGCACCCAGGGGAATGTTCTGAGTATGAGTATATTTTCTGTTCCAGACCCAAAAACACTACAATAAAATAAAGATACATTTTATATAAATAAGCAAAAAATACTCTGTGGGTCCATTATATAAGTCTGCCATGGAGCAGCTCCAAACTTTAATTTGATGACATCCTAAGTTTGGCTTTAAGAGAGAGTAGCTCATGTTCACAGATACTATTTGGCTTTTCTCGGCCATGGAAACAACCCCTGTACCCCGCTATTAAAATGAAATACAACCGATGAGCATCAGAGTTGACATTTTATGCAAATATTCTCAACATCTCGTCATCATATTTACTGGCACGGTGTTGGTGGTTTTCTTGCTTTGCTTCTGAGGACTTAACTCAAAACTGCAATGAACTGCAGACAACTAAAAATAGCCTACAACACTTTAGATCACAGGACTAAAAATTAAAATGAATGGAAACTTACTTGGCACAATACTGACAAACAGAAGCAAGCGAAATAAAGTTTGCACTCTCCATCGTTTCATCTTGCTGAAGCAAATCATCTCGATCCAAAGATCATTTGAGCTGCTGGGTGCCAAGTGCCATTCACTGGCAATCAAAAACAAAACAGAGAAACAAAAATCAGACTGAGAGAACACAGCGTGAACTGCACGAGGCCACCAAGTGCAACTGATGATGAGAGAGGAGGAGAGAGGCGGGGCAGCACCACATGTGAACCACAGTAGGCTATGTCTCTGATAGGATATTTTTATTCAAAATAAATTTCTAAATAATAATAATAATAATAATAATAATAATGAATACATAAATAAAAATCGATCGCCATATTTGTTTTTCCACTGTGGCTAATTATTGTAAAGAGACACATTTTATTCAACATGCTGTCTGTGATCTGTGCATCATTTTTTGATAGGCTGCGCCGCCCATACGCAGCATCCTCAGCACTCTCCTCCGCTCACTTTCTCTTCCGGGTGCTGATGTTGCTCATGCACTGCATTTTCCTCCTGCTCTGTCGCACAAGGAGGATGCTGCATCCGCGGGCCTGCTATCATCTTATGGGAGCATACAAATGAATTTTAATGGATGCATAAAAATGTCGCGGGGATTTAAGATGGCTGGATGATTCCCAGGTCCTTTTTATGCCTTATACCTTCTTGTTGGTACCTGGAATAATTCAGCTCTTCCCCGCAGCCTGCTATCATGAATGTTATTGTAATAACGTAGGTATTGACAAGATAAGTGCGTGCAGTCTGTGGTAGCCATTATTGGTAAACTGTAAACCAAGTGGAGGTAGGTTGATTTAGTTTTTCCAGACTTTATATGTGCAGTAAATGCATGCATGTGTTTCAAAATGTCCCCACATAATTGATGCAATGCTGACAGCACGTGACAGTATACTATAATTGATTCAGCAAGATGAAATGTTGGAGTTATATGTTGCATATACAGCATATATCTGCAAACATATACCTCATATGTAGCCTGATGTATTACAACTTGGACAAAGTGTGATGGTCTCTGCAGTATGTTTCTAAATAAGACTTCTTTGACACTGTTTCAGATTAAGATGCTACAAGGCTCTACTATCTTGGGGCACGAGAGGCCCCTGGTCATCAGGGTGTCATTCGCCACCTGTGTTGTGGGTACTGTGTGCTTGCCACTGCTTGGACTAATAACTTGTGTCTTCATATCCTCTGTTTTCCATTACGAGGACTCTACTGGTACACACTGCCAGGTAATGTCCCTATTTTGCAAACCTATCCAAGCATGTTTTTTTCCCTCGATGCTAATGATATACTAAATCATCCCTGTGTGTTTCCAGGTGCCTAATTACCTGCCATCTATCAGTGCCTCAATAAGTCTTAGTCCTGAGTGCCACATATGGCGGTTCTGTATCGGGCTGCACTCAGCACCGAGGCTCCTGGTGGCATTCACCTACTTCAAATTTTACAAGACGCGCTTTGCCTCGAGGTTTCCTGAGAGCTCACTCAGTTGCTTCAACCTGGCCTTTTCTATCTGTGAAAACCTCGGCCTCTTGCTCCTCACATACGTATCATCCAGTGAAACATACTGTGAGTAATCCATCGTTTATTGGAGAGGTTGTATTCAAGTCTTTGTGTTCCATTTGAATCATGGTATGCTTTGTCCCCCTCTCTTTTGCTCCTTAGTTGTACATAAGGAAGGTTTTGTGCTCTTCATAGTCAGCTCCATTATCTACATGCTCATAACCTGCCGTTTATGGAAGACTATAAAGAAGTATTCATTAAGTCCTGAGGTAAGGGATGCCAAATCACACACTACAGTCTGCAGTCCCTCATGTCATATGCAGCATTCCAGTCCAAATTAGTGTTCTTGGTTTTTTTTTCTCCTTTATAGGATGCCAAGTCTCACCACTGGAAAGTACGCTTCTTACTCCTCAATGTATCCTTCTGTGCTTTTGCCGGATTCTTTTATTGGAAACACAATATGTACTGTGAATCAGGGAGTAAGTATTGAATCTGTGAGGGCCGATAATGGTCCTTGATAAAGAATGACACAACATTCAAAAACATGTCAGTCATATGAACAGTGGTGTAAAATTTTAGCTACAAAATGTTGATTGAAACACATGTCTATTATATGCTTCTTTCCACAGGTTACACATTATTTGCCCTGTTTGAGTATCTAGTGGTTTTCTCCAACATGGCCTTCCATCTAACAGCAGTGTGGGACTTTAAGAGCCGGGAGGTGATGGTTGTTTCATCATCCGAAGATAAAGACTTCTGACTAGAAGTTCAAGGACTGAGTGCTAAATGTACTCCCACACAATCACCTGATGTTACCAGCCTTGATCCTGCACAAGAGGAAGAGTGGGATGAAGGCCTTTTCCATATATTTCCAGGATGACAGCTCTCAAGTCCTTAGATGGCGTAGATGTCAGACAAGTTTGATCAGAAGATATGCACATGTGCTACTGTGTGGTCAATTCAGTGAGCTGTAAGTGCTTTTCTTTGCCTCAGTGTCTCATTCATGGATGCCTTCGTCCACATACACAATTTTATGTAATGTGAGATTTTAACTTTTGTACGATGCACAAAAAAGTGTGTGGTCATACTGTATGTGTGCCAAAGTAAAGTGATAGTTCTTCAAGTATGCTCGGCCTTCATTTTTGTCCATGTGGCCTTGTCTTTGAGCATTAATTTTGAGTCTCAGATACTGGTCAACACACAGAAACTTATGACACAGTGGAGCTACACCATTCCCAAAAAAAGTTTGCCACAAAGAGCCACTTGACTGTGATACTTTTAAATTTGCATTTATATTTCAACAATATTGAAACTTTTAATGGTATTTGATTGCTAGCAGTTGAACTTATGATATTTTTAACAGTTATCAAATATGAATTCTCTACATGTGGCCTTAATGCCCTGTTAATCCGCTGCAGGTATTATAATCGCACACCGTTACCTCACTGTGACCCGAAAGTTAATACGGTTGGATGAAAACCCAGTGGCCCAGGGGCCATGTATAAACACAAACTGCTGTAATGTTTCTTTAGTTCTAACCACAGTCACAGCCTGCTAGTAAATGTATGTGACAGATTGTTATGCTTTATGCTATTTTATGCATCACCATGCAGCGTATCCATCCTCGTCTACTTTAAATATGGTGTTTACATTTAGGTGTTTGCTATTCACCATAACAACACTGCAAAGCCTCGTGTCATCCCTCCTCCAATCTGACTCTGATGATGCAAGTACTGGCCAAGCACAAGCAATAAGTTTCAACTGGGCCACAAGACATTGAATCATATTCACTCACAAAAAAAAAAAAAAAACACAGTAAACAGTAGTTTTTATTTGCTATTGTCCCACTGGTGTATATTACCTTTATATAAATATGTTAAGGTTATGAAAGGACATGTCCTCCAACATACAGACTACATAAGATTTGTAAAGGCAGACGTGGATGAATAAATGAAAGACAGGGTTGGTCGACATAGTCGACATTAGGCCTTTAACTTGTGATTATGGGAAAACACAGGTGTTACTAATAATATTAATGATGTGACCTATGAGGCAAGACACCCCAGGTTTCATCATGCTCTGGTCAATTCTGAGTTTTTGGGATATTTTTCCTCCACAAAGTCTTCTTTTAGACTAGTGGAAAGAAAATGTCCAAAAATACACATTTAGGTTTTTATTTTGGTTCAAATTTTTGTTCTTCAAATGTATTCAAAAGCACATATCAAATGACATAGTGCCTCATTTGCACATTTAAACAACATTTCAGAAAGCTTGTGATACAAAAAAAAAATCAATATAAGTAATCAACCGGGGAAGTTTCATGGTAATCAATTTTTACCATGCTGTCTTATTTTTTAGTATAAAAAAATGCATGGAATTTTACAATATATATCTTTTAAGGCCGTTCTTGCAAAAGTTTCTTCTCAGACTGTGAGCCACAAATCTCCACTTCAGTGGCACTTATATACACCAAACTTTTCTGTTTTACAGTATATGTGCTATATTCTGGAGGTTTCTGCCAAGGGTTTTATGCCTTTTTTTCAATGCCAGATTTTTATACATGTTATTAAAGAACGAGCCCACCAAAGGTTCCAATAAGGCCCACTGGATGACTTTGCACACCTAATATATACGTATGAAGGCTATAACAGTGCATCACACTTCATGTGAAATACTGCTTCTGAGTCTTTTCACCCTGACCAGAAAATGGCTCTCTGAAACAACAATGAATACTTATTGTGGTCATATTTAAAAAAAATATTGAACATTGTGCAAAAATCTTATCAATCAACAGCTTCAGCACAAAATAATCTGCATCAGATCTTAAAACAATATTGGTGGACCCTGTTACTAAAGCATTGACAAACCTTTAGATTTGTAAATCATTTACAAATCAGGGGATAACATAACCTGCTTCCCCACTGGCTGTAACTTTAGTTTGTTGTGGTGATGCCAGCATGACTGTACTACACAGGAGTGGAAATGTATGTGGAAAATGTGCATTCAATGACAGTGAGTAGTGAATGTAGAAAAACTGAGACATACTTTTGAAATTGCATTTACTTTAGACATCTCAGGCTGTTCATCATCTGTTTTGTAAATGGATGGACATTTTCAGAATGAACTTCTTTATACCAAAGAAAGGGAAACATTTGGAGATGTTGTTATTTGTAGATCATTATGCGATGGTTTTTCTGGTCTGGCTCGCTGGAGATCAAATAGGGCTGTATGTGGCTCATGAACTAAAATAAGTTTGACACCCCTGCTGCAGAAGGAAGGTTGGAAATTGGTGTAATAGTTCTCATATGTAAAAAATAACATTTCTTTCCATTGTAGTGGTGTAAACAATCCACTAGATGGCACACTTCAGCAATTTGTTTTACAGCCAGTACACACTCCGGACGTTAGGAGGCGCCGCCTGCTGGTAATAACCAGGGACTCAGTGGCGTAGAGGAAGACAACCCCACTGTCTTTCCACATTCTGCGGCTTTTTCGGTCCAGTCTCGGTCGGGAGAAAGACCGAGACCTTTCCGACAGGAGGTGGAGTTCGTTGTGCTTCAACTCCGGTGACCAGATATCTGCTGCAATGTTAACATAGAGCTGAGACTACATATCTGCTGCCTCTGATACATGACAGGTAACTTTATATTTATGTTATCCAACATTACGGTGTTCCAGCAGTAACATTATCACGCAGCCTAACGCTAGCTAAAACTACAGCTGCTCTTTATCAACGTCCCTTGTTTGACTTGCGGTGTCTTGTGGTTAACGTTAGCTAATCGTCAGCGGTGGCTAGCGTACGTGTGTAGCAAATGCAGTAAGTCGACGCCGACATGGACTGAAGAGAATACGGAAGCGTTAGTGTGAAGGCTCTGTAATGTAACTCCTCCTTTGTTGGATATTTCACTTCCTTTCCTAGTTAGCCGAGATATGTAGCTAGCTAGTCGGGGCTTGTCAGACAACCACCCACCAGGTGCACGGACCAGGCTGCTCTCACTTTTCCTAATCTTATTATTAGTCTCCCTTAAGTGACATGTGTATGTGAACATGTCCCCAAAAACCCCGAAGAACAGCTAAACAGGCAAAATAAGGACTTTAATGTACTAGCAAGCTAACGACAGTAAGTTAACGTTACCTTCATTCATTCAGGAAGAAGATGTTCACTTGAGAAGTGATAGCATGTGTCCGCAGTTGCTTGCTGCAGGGGATCTTTATGTAACTCACCGTATTTCTTGGTATGCTCTAAGCCAATTAATGCAATTTCCTCTCCTTGGTAAGGTGTCGTCATGTGTCCTAACAGACAAAGTAGCTACATTGTTTTAATTATGACAAATGTTTAGTTGATACACAGAAAGCCCGCAAATGTGTTATGCTACAGTTACCAGAATTGTCAAGGGACTTTGCCGCCTTCTTTCCAGCACACACCAGCCATGGAGTTCAACAAACTGCTGACATTGTGGATACTTTGCTTGTGTCTCATTGGAGAAAGTTGGACTGAAAAACCAGCTTCACCTACACCCGAGAGTCCGACTGTTGAAAATGGGGTGTCAGGTGAGTAATCAATAATGGCATTAATTTGTTGTATCATTACAAAAAGTCTATTTTTATTCACCTCTTTAGCTAAGATGACACACTACTGGCAGAAGGGTTACTCTTCGTGCCACATCTTTGTGATGGTGCAGGCACTAAATGTGGCCACGCTGAGAATAGTCCGGCTGGCATTCTCCATTAAGCTCTGTCCTCCAACTCAGATCAAACCACCAAGTCAAACTGAGCCAATCGATCTATTGGTTAGTGCAGCACATGAGCAGGGCTTTAAGTAATTTCTGAATCAGGTCATTATAATCAAGATGTTATTATTTCCAAAAAATCGTGAATTAGAATCAACACATTGCAAATATTCCCCTAACATTTGGCATTGACATTACAACATAAACTGTTATTCTTTATCACACTTGGTTCATATTTGTATATATAAAGATAAAGTGGCCCGGCACAAGTCAGTGCAATCATTACATGATTGTCTGCACAGTGCTAAAGAGGACACCATAATGATATTATGTCGACACTCGTATCTTGGATTTGCACTTCTCGTCATGTGTCACCAAAATTCTTAACTATGAAACCTAATGCGTTGACTCGCATGTTAAAGGCAATTTGGGCCTCTCACAACAGCATACTCCTGCAGTGACTTACTGCACTACATTTACGGCACAGTTTTTGTTTCTTTTTCGTGGATGGTTTGATTTAAAGCTAAAACACGAGTGAATTTAACAAGCTCCTCTTTGGAAAAAAATGCTGATCTTTTTAGATGAGGCCCTCAATCACTGACAATCTCTCGTCTCAGTCTGTGAAGTGATTTCCCATGAATCATAACAATGGTTACATCAGTTAAGCACATTTTGAAACTGCAAAACAGACCGTGAACTGTGAAACCCGAGTCTACTTGGGACAAGTATGAGCTAGTTATGACATACCATGACTCAGGTTTTTTTTAAAGTGTGCTAGTGTAAGAGTTCGTATCTGTTGACAAAAGGCATAACCGTTGCTCAGATTAACATTTTGAAATCTTTATCTTGACTTGACTGTCTATACTTTAAGCAACAACTGGGCAAAGACAAACTTGCATGGTTGTAATCTTTACTGCTTACTAGTGTGGTTAAACAGGAACTACTGAGACATTGTCCATGTTGCTCATACACATTTTGCACTTGAAGCACATTTTTTAACTAGTGTGTGTCACATGTCCGAAGAGGCCTCAGCAAGGGGAAAAAATTATTCTTGACAGTGATTTTCAAAGCATGACAGGTATCCTGAATGGCAATACGACAATAGTAACTGCTGCAGTTATGAAGTAACAAAGTTATGGAGTGTGTTTTACATCAACACGCAGGCACACAGTATGACTTACGTAACGCAAGCTCTTAAAAAAAGCAGGCTGACTGGTATGTAAATATCTTATCTGGTGTCTCCGGAGGTTTGCAAGCCAAATGAGAAAGAGGGCCACATTGGGTGTATGAGAGCGTTGCAGGTGCAGGCTTTCACCAGAGTAACTGTCTGTCTTTGTTTAACATGGCGAGTGTGAATGAGCGAGAGTAATTGC